AAAAAAAAAAGACCAAAACCTATACCCTCACTCCCAACTCCAAATATTTCTAATAAAATAAAACTTTAAACATTAAAGTAAAAACAGCTAAAGCATAAAAGTATGAGAATAGGTTAAAAAAAATTTTTAAATGTTGCTACACTAGGTCTTTATGAGCATGGTATCAAAATCAGAAACCATAATATAATCTTAAAGAGATTTGATTATTGCATAAAAATATTTTAAAAACTGTATTAGCAGGGACTCTTGGATGAATCGGTTGAGAATCTGCCTTCAGCTCAGGTCATGATCCTGGGGTCCCAGGAACAAGCCCCAAGCTGGGCTCTCTGCTCAGCAAGGAGTCTGCTTCTGCCTCTCTCTCTGGCTCATACTTTCTCCCTCCTTCTCTCTCTGTCAAATAAATAAATGAAGTTGTTTTTTTTAACTGTATTAGCAGACCAAACTAAGAACCAGAAAGAATGGGGGCGCCCAGGTGGCTCAGTGGGTTAAAGCCTCTGCCTTTGGCTCAGATCATGATTGCAGGGTCCTGAGATCAAGCCCCGCATCAGGCTCTCTGCTCAGCAGACAGTCTGCTTCCTTTCCTCGCTCTCTGCCTGCCTCTCTAATTGTGATCTCAGTCTGTCAAATAAATAAAATCTTTAAAAGAAAGAAAGAAAGAAAGGAAGGAAGGAAGAAAGAAAGAAAGAAAGAAAGAAAGGCTGCCAGAGGCTAGAGGAGTGGAGGAATGAGGAATTAGTATTTAGGGTACAGAGTTTCAGTCTGGGAAGATGAAAGAATCTGGAGAAGATGGTGGTGATGGGTTACACAATGTGAATGTACTAAATGCTCCGAACGTGTTAAATCATTAAATACATCATTAAAAATTGTAAATTTTATGTTATATATATTTTACCAGGAAAAAACTGCATTAACAGAAATCACTATAAATTATCAAATAAATACTAAATAAACAGTAAGACGTCATTTCTCACATAGCGTATTAACAAAGACAAGAAAACTGCTTGCTCACACATTATCAGCCACCCCGTAAGTAAAACATATTCTTTTAAAAAGGCAATCCATAAAACCACATATGTAAACTAATAAGAAAATGTTGCAAGTGGGCTAAGATACATAAGAATGTTGCTATAGTGTTTTTTGTAAAAGCAAAAAACTGGAAACAATTTCAATGTCTATTAACAAGATACTGATAGACTGTAGCAATCTTATAGAAGGGAGTATTAAGCATTCATTTAAAAATCATGAAGTAATTCTATCCTTGTTGTCATGAAACAACATCCATGACATATTACATAGAAAAAAATACCTTTCAAAACATTAGGATTCCACTGATATAAAATTATATACACAGACAATTATACACCTGAATAGAGAAGGGGTTCACACCAAACTGCTGGCAAAATGTTACCTAATTAGCTCTCTCTGGATAACTGTATTGTTTTCAATGTTGTTACTGTTATTTTTTTACTTTTCTAGATTGTTTCAATGTTTTACCATGAGAATGTATGCAATTAAGAATTTATAAGTCAGTTTTTCATTTTAAAAAGTCTAATATGTAAAAAATGTAAAGCTGACATCTCAAATACTAAGTTTATATAGGTTATTATATATCGTTAATAGCTCTTAGAACAACTTAAGGATTATGCACAGGAAAAGTTATCATTTTAAGAATGTGGAAAACTATAATTTAAATTCAAAGAGCTGGTGGAGTTCTTCTGTCTAGAGTAAGAATATAGGGGCCAAACTTGCTCTTAACATAGTAAAAAACCTCTTTCCTGCTTTGTGGATCAATTTTTCTACCCTTGAATAACTTCAAATTACTATTTTAGCTACTACATATCAACCTGGAGAAACACAGAAAAAGTCAACGCGAACTATATCAAAAACTGAAAAATGAGGTTAGAGATGTTGATATTCTACAATCCACGTTTATCTAGGAGGGTCAAAATATATTTAATGAATGTTTCTATATAAATTCTTATTAACATTTTAAATGTTAAATTCCATTACTTAACATCACTACAGAAGTTTCACTCAAATTCTTACTGCCTCTGTTATGGAGTCTGTATATTCTGTGAAAAGTTCTTTTTAGATCTGAAATTTTAAGAGATAGAAATATAAGTTTTTCTTTTACTCATAAAAAGTTTCAAGGGAAAACTAACACGATTCCTAATATCAGAACTTCAAGCCTATTTCTAAGTAGTACTACTTAAGCCTTCAGGTAGGAATTTACACACACAATCTTTACTAATAAAGCATCCTAACATGAAGGAAATCACAAGATTTTTTTTTTCCCCTCTGAAAAACAGAAAATTAATTCTATGTTATTATACCATGAGTTCTTGTAACTAATTTTTAAAATGCCTTTAATACTTACAGCTTGATTAGGTAGATTGTCAGTCTTAAGTTCTCTGTGATTGGAATACTGAATAAAAACAGGCTGGCTTCGAAGGTGAGGAGTAACAGGAGTGTAATAATTCACCATAGTAACCGCAGCTTCCTCAGAAGCCATTTCTAAGAAAGCCTGCAATAAACACAAGAAAGCAAAGTGAAAGCTCATGTTTTTGAAAGACAGCTAAGAACTATGAAAAGACTTTTGCTTCAAAGCGTATCACTGATGTTAACTGAAAACACATTTGAAAAGTTGGGTTCAATAAAGGATTTGGGCCTGGGAAATTGCCAGTTGAATAAATGATTTCATGTGGTTTTTGGTTTTTCTCTTTTTTCTTTTTCTCTAAAATCTAGAAATAATTAAAAAGGCAAAAATAAAGGTGAGCATTAGCACACCTGATGCTTTTGGGGGGTTGGGATTTAATCGTTCTTTCCCAAAGAAAAACTTCCCAAAGATGGGGGGGAACATAATGATTTGCTCTCCTTTACCTTTTACTAAACAACTCTTTATGATACAATTAAGTTTATTATGCAATTAAAAAGAGCATGCGGGTGCAAAGGCTCAATTGTTCAAATCAGGGAAATGGGGGAACTTTCAGCATTAAGTCAATATTGACTTGAGTCATTCAAGTCACTTTTTTTAAGATCCGTATTAAAAAATAGAGAGTGATGCTTGGGTGGCTCAGTTGGTTAAGAATCTGCTTTCCGCTCAGGTCACAATCCCAGGGTCCTAAAATCTAGTTCCACATCGGGCTCCCTGCTTGGCAGCCAGCCTGCTTCTCCCTCTGCGGGCTGCTACCCTGTTTGTACGTGCTTGCGCTCCCTCCCTCTATCTCTGACAAATAAATAATCCTAAAAAAAAAAAAAGAAAGAAAAGAAACATCAACGCCCAAAATAATATCACCTGTATTAAGCCCTTACCAACCAAGATTTAATACCTAACAATTATAGTTTCAACCTCTCCCAAGAGTGGAATCTTAAACCAGTCCATCTGGAATTACCTGGTCAGCAATAGTGAGGTTATCTGCCTGACAGACCCCCCACCATCCCTAAAGGAAGGTGAACTTGCCTGACACAATTCACTCTGCTAGTAACTTCCTTGTCTCACCCTATTCTGCCTACAAAAGTTTTTCATTTTGCACTGCTCTTCACAGGTCCTTTCCATCTGCTAGACGGGATGCTGCCCAATTCATGAATTGCTGAATAAAGGCCAATAAAATCTTCAAAATTTACTCAACTGAATTTCATCTTTTAATATCTGTATCTGTAATCATTGTACTCATATCAGATATTTGAAAAAGAATATAGGAAGAGCTGAAATGGAAGAAGATCCTTGGGACTTACATCTTATTCTCTATATGGCTTCTTCTGGCTGTCGCCAACCCTATCTTAATGGTTTGTTAGGAAGACGAAATAGTAATCATTCTGACTCCTAGGAACTACCTGTAAGAACATCTCAAATTTAGGGGCACCTGGGTGGCTCAGTTGGTTAAGTGACTGCCTTTAGCTCAGGTCATGATCCTGGAGTCCCAGGATTGAGCCTCACATTGGGCCCCCTGCTCAGCAGGGAGTCTATTTCTTCCTCTGATCCTCCTCCCTCTCCTGCTCTCTCTCATTCTCTCTCTCAAATAAATAAAAATAAAATCTTTAAAAAAAAAAGAACATCTCACATTGTTCATGCAGGAACAACCCCTGATTGAATCAATGCAAATTTCTAGTTAGACAATTCTTTTTCACTACAACAGAGTATGTAATTAGCAAGTGTACAGTAACCACTTCAAATTATGCATAAAATATTTCATTCATAAAAATGTGTATTTATTAAGAACAAAATTTACTTAACACAGATAATGGCAAATATCTATAAAACAAACTACTTATTTGTTTATAGTTATATTACTTGCTAAATGTTTCTATTTGGCAAATATTCAGTGAAGGAATATTAACTTGACAAATATTAAATGTGATGCTTAACCGTATCACTCAAATGTCACAAGTGAACCAATTAAATGTTTTAACTAACAATATTCTATGAAGTAGTAATGTTAGCCATGTGATAGCAGATCAAATATCATTAATCAATCCAAAATAGATAAAACTCCACCATCTTCAAGGAATCAATGTCCACACTGCAATTTAAAACCACTATCCAACTGTATCAGTAATATACTTACTAGTTTGTCTACGAGGTTAAAAATGATCAAGGTAATCAAAATAGCTAAATAATACTTCCTATCTGGTTTTTAATCATCTTTTCAACAAAGAATTTATAAATTGTTTGCTAATAATATTCACTCTACGGGGGAACAGTATCTTTCTGAAAACTCCTTCATAAATGCAAGAACTAAACTCAATGTCTAACAGTCACACAAAAGAAAAGCTAAACATCTTTGGAATACATGATTCTTGTGATAGAAAATTTTTCCTGAAAGTATATACAACCTAAAAATTCATACACAAAAATAACTTTTTCCACATGGAGCCCAGTAAAGGAATTATTTAGGTTTTCCCAAAGTATGCAGAGAAATCCATTTTCATAATAAGGAGTGGAGAAAAAATCAAAAGTCACTACCCACAGAAAGGCTGGTACGGATATCCCCCAGGCTGCCCTCAACACTTTACCTCTAAGTACCAAAGGGTAGACTATACCTAGTCCTAACGGCTAGGTAGTTCCTAGTAGTTCTAATGGCTCACATGACACTCTCTCGCTAAAGTATATTACTAACAAAATATTTTCAAAACAGGATTTATGATCCAAAGACAAGCACTTAACATAACAGTCAGTTAGCACTACAGATAAATAACAAACCCCAAACCAGTAGTAGAGACAAAGACAAAGTGTGATCTTGCCTGCTGCTCCTCGTAACAGTTTGAAAGAATGTACAGAATACACTCCATGAAACATGATAATGTACATGATACACATACATGATACATCTCACAGCCATTAGACTTGGCCACACTGGCTCTTCTAAAACTATGCAAACTATATTATTCTCAACAGTGGCAACTGAGTTAAAACAAAGATCCAAGTGCATGTACGATCTCCAAAAGATGTAAGACAGAAGTGTAAACACAACAGAAGTTGAATACTAAGACATGTTATTTATTTAACCTCTCAGATTTAAATAATTACATCTGAACTAAATGGGAATGTTTATTTCGTTTACTAAAGGGCCAGAATCAGACATCTTCCAATCTCTTTCATAACCAACACATATCAATCTATTTATAAATCTGTTTATGTTTCTTAAACTTATTTATGAAAATTCTAAGAAATAGGGACTTATCACTACGTATTACACAATGTCTGGGGCCTAAATTTGTTGTCTTCTTACAGCAATGCTCAGCATAAAAGATTTTCAGGACAACCAAAAACTGGAAAAGAACTAAAGAATTCACCCTAGTGGGGTCTAAGGTTGAACAAGAAAGTAGACGATTGTTCAAATTAACATAAAAAGTGTTATATTTTTGTCCTGGTCACCACAAAAGCAAGTTTCCTTATTCATCTTAAGAAAAACCTATTAACTTCTGAAATGAAAAAATTCTAACAGTCTCTCCTGAATTATTAAAGAAGATATATATTTAATTCTACAATTAAAATATACTACACATTTCTCTAAAGATTTTAGAAAACTTTAATGTTCTTTAATTGCCAAATAAGGTATAATTTATATCCTCTCTCTGTGTGTCTTGGTCTTCTGATAATCAAAGGGTTTTTTCATAAACTATTCTGTAATTAAGAATATAAAAGGTTTTTTGTTAAGGAAGAAAAGGCCAAGTCACTGATTAAAAAATAATTCTATGTCCTGTGTTAATATTTTTGTTTGTTGCTTCCTGTCACACATAAAAAAATTCTATCTAAAGAACTAAAAAACTATCTAAAGAAAATGAAATCCAGAAAACATAGAAAAGTTCAAGAAAATAAAAGTCATCTTTAGCACTAATACCCAGAGATAATCACTGTGGTTCAGTCTTTAAATATTACATACCTGGCTTTTTCCTTTCAACATCAAAAGATTAGTAACTTTGCCAAATGGTAGACCTAATGATATGACCTCTGCTTCGGTGACATCACTTGGAATTTTGCGAAGATGGAGAACACGGGAAGGCGAACAGGGAGGTCTATCTCCTTTAAATTTCTTGTTGTCATTCCCATTAGCTAAAAAAATATAAGATTTTTTGAAATTACTGAAACTAATTTAAGTTGACATACTACATTAACCCTATTGTCATGTTTCATCCTTCCAACAGTTTTAGTTTTTGAAATTCAGGACACTATGGATCTGATCAGGGAAGAGGAGGATAATGGAAAACAAACCATCCACCTTCAATGAATCAATGGGTATTTTTGGTTTTTCACTGCAAGTATTAAATTAGTGAAAAATTCAATTCTGATTTTTAACTTCAAGGAAAAGCATTAAATAAATTACATATTTATACCTCTAAATAGACAACTATTTGTTGTGAGTAGAGAACAATTTTATAATGTCTCTAATGTATTTTTAAAGATATTTTTCTTATTTGTTCTAGTGCTAAATAAATAAGAACAATAACTTTTAATAAAGATTGTAAAAGAAATTTTATATTTACCACATCCTGAGGGGATTTGGATTTGAACTGTATCATTATGAAAATTAAGTTTACTTCTTAGGCATTATTATTTTTTACTGATCTTTTTATGAAGTATTTTTTAGAAGCTAAATTGTTGTTTCCTAACATAATCTTATTCCTTATTATGTAACAGTAGATCTTAACTTAAGCATCATCTTGTTAGAAATGCAAATTTTCAGCCCTACCCCAGACCTACTGAATCAGAACCTAGGGCTAGGACCCAGTAACCTATGTTTTAACAAGCCCTCCACATGATTTTGGTGCAATCTAAAGTTTGAGAACCACTGCTATACAATAAACAAATCCACTAGCCGAGTTTACAGCTAAATTTTATTTAAATCCTTTTAACATTGACAATAACTAGAACTGACAAGCCTATAATGAATACTCAAACTTATGTACATAAAATTCAGAAATGTTTTTCCCCAAAAATAGCACCATGTATGACTGAATGAATGCAAATTATCTGAAAGCCCTAGGTTTCATTATAGTGTTTTTTTTAAATTAACACATAATATATTATTTGTTTCCGGGGTACAGGTCTGTGATTCATCAGTCTTACACAATTCACAGCACTCACCATAGCACATACCCTCCCCAATGTCCATCACCCAGCCACCCCATTCCTCTCACCCCCCTATAGTGGGGTTGTTTTTTTTTTAATGCTAAGTAGTACCATACTTAACACTATTAGGAGGAAAATACAATCTTCCCAAATGCCTAAAACTGTCATTTTTCCAAACATTAATGGAACTCTGCAAACAAAGAACATGAAGACCACATAAAAACTACAGGGCAATATTCTGTAACCGTATCTGTAGCACAGAACTCACTTGCTTACAAGTGGGTAGGTTGACTTAATAACCCAAATGAGGACTCACTCCCAAATTTTCTGTTCATGAATGCAGGCAGCATCCTACCCAGACCCCAAAGACTACCAGTTCCTATAGGTCCTTCCTGGCTATGCCTGTATATAGCAAATGCCTAGCAAGACTGTAAATAACAGGCAGTCAAATACTTATTGTAAATTAACCTGGGAGGGAAGAAATTCTTTTCCCACCTCAAAGTACCCAGAAATATTGATTTTCCCCTTCAAAATGACTGATTACATTTTTCATGTCCACTCTCGATGTCACTAAGTTCACCTATGATCTTCCCCCTTCCACTCTGCCTTCTTCTACTCACTCTCCCTCTAGCCCCACTCAGCTCCGACTTACCAAACAAAATAAAATAGTGTATCACATCATTATCTTCCCTTAAACACCCTGATGGGCTTCCAACAACCTAAAATGTCCCTTTGTTTCTAGTTTTCACACTGTTTTCACTTATACTGCCTCATTTGAGTTTACAAAAATATACATGAGATAAATCTTACTAATTTTAACAGATGAAGAGACAAAGGTTCAGAAAATAAGTGATTTTTGTACACAGCTAGCAAGTGTAAAAAGTGTCATTCAAACTAAAGTTTATTTTTTTAGCACAAAAATCTCAAAATGTCTTATCATTCCTAGAAAAAAACAAGCAACCTGACACTAACATAAATTTTCAAAGTATGTGCAGACTTAAGTGGATTATAATGATAACACTGTCACTAAATTAGAACACTGTAATTCATGCTCTAGATAGGAGTGAAAGCTGGGCACAGGGTGTGCCCTTTTGCACTCTCCTGGTAGGCCTAGATGGCAAGATAATAGTACCACAATCTTGTGCTTTCTTAACCAGCACAAGGTGTTAAGACTGGAAAAACACCCTAAAAGCAAGAGGATTTTATCAGTTTACCCAGAATATTCTAAAACAAATCAAAGAACATTTAGAAGATTGCTTCTTTAACAGAGGTTTTAATCATTACCTGTGTGATAAAAACAACTATACATGCTATTTGAGCTTGTGTTAGACTATCAAATAAAGAACTATGGTAACAAATTTTTATCAAGAAATATGCAATTAGGGGCGCCTAGGTGGCTCAGTGGGTTAAGTGTCTGCCTTTGGCTCAGGTCATGATCCCAAGGTCCTGGGATTGAACCCTGAATGGGGCTCCTTGCTCAACGGGGAGTCTGCTTCTCCCTCCCCCCCAACCCTCGCTTGTCCTCTTTCTCTCTCTCTCTCAAATAAATAAGATCTTAAAAAAAAAAATACAATTATAGAAACCCACCATTTTAGTTTAATTGTTCTGAATTATAAAAGTGACTGAGCTATGTTAAGAGCGTGGGCTATTAAATCAACCTGTTCTAACCAAGTTACCGGACATAATTGAGCCTCAAAATCTTTTCCAATAAAATGAGTATAATAGGGGTACCTGGGTGGTTCAGTTGTTAAGCATCAGGTCATGATGCCAGGGTCCTGGGATCGAGCCCCGCATCAGGCTCCCTGCTCTGTGAGAAGCCTACCTCTCCCTCTCTCACTACCCCTGCTTGTGTTCCTTTCCTCACTGTGTCTCTCTCTGTCCAATAAATAAAGAAAATCTGGGGCACCTGGGTAGCTTAGTGCGTTGAAGCCTCTGCCTTCTGCTCAGGTCATGATCCCAGAGTCCTGGGATCCAGCCCTCCATCGGGCTCTCTGCTCAGCGGGGAGCCTGCTTTCTCCTCTCTCTCTCTGCCTGCCTCTCTGCCTACTTGTGATCTCTGTCTGTCAAATAAATAAATAAAATAAAATAAAAAGAAAATCTTATATATATATATATTTTTTTTTTTTTAAGATTCCATTTACTTATTCAACAGAGAGAGAGAGAACAAGTAGGCAGAGAGACAGGTGAGGGGTGGGGGAAAGCAGGTTCTCCACCGAGCAGAGAGCCCGACACGCGGGGCTCGATCCCAGGAGCCCGAGACCATGACCCGGGCTGAAGGCAGAGGCTTAACCCACTGAGCCACCCAGGTACCCCAAGAAAATCTTTTTAAAAAAATGAGTATAATTACAGAGGTATTTTGGAAATTAAATTAGGTAACATATTTAAATACTAGACGTAGGTACACCTGGGTGGCTCAGTCAGTTAAGAGTCTACCTTCAGCTCAGGTCATGACGCCAGGGTCCTGGGATCAAGCCCCCCATCAGGCTACCTGCTCAGCAGGGAGTCTCCTTTTTCCCTCTCCCCCTGCCCCCCACCCCCTGCTCTTGCTCACACTCTTGATTGAACTCTGGCTCTAAAATAAATAAAAAATTTTTAATACTAGGTATAATGCCTAGCACATAATAATCAATAATATGTCTTGATTTTCTTAGGAAGGACTGTGTTACCTGAAAGTGATGTTCTTTCCACTTCTTTGGTATTAAAATGATGACTGTAGGTGACAGTGACTTTTTTCTCTTGATGTGCTTACTTAGCAAAATTTAAGACATTGCTCAAAATTAACTAAAAAATTTTATTATTCTATGAAATCTAAAAATCTAAGAATTACTCATCTAGATGGCCCCAGAAAAGGTTATAGCCACTGAAAAATGGAAAATATATAACCAATCACATGGGCATAATTTACTAAAAGTCAACAGGAAACAAGGAAATTATAATGCATTAAATATATAACTTTGAAGAACTACTCTCTGTACAAAATACATTAGAGACTTTCCAAAATTTTTATTATGAAAATCAGCATTCAAAATACTTAGCTTGTAAAAACCCTGCATCTTATTGAACAATATATTGAAAACTACTGAATGCCTGCTACATATTAGTCAGGTTCCAAAAAAATAAGTAGAAGAGACTTTTAAAAATTCATATATTCCCATCTCAAAACTGAAGAAATCCACCAGGAAAACTATCCTACAAATATGGATCTTTTTAAAAATGCAACTTTATTAGGTTATACTTTAGAGATAATAAAATCCACCTACATTTTAAATGCAATTTATCGAATACTGCAAAAATCAAGTTATAGAACCTTTCCACCATCTCCTAAAGTTCCCCGGTGCTCCTTTGTAGTCAGTCCTCCCTCCAAAACCCCCACCTCTCAAACTAAACATATACCATATACTACCACCATACTGTCTTGATTACGATAACTTTAGAGCAATTCTTTTTAAACAAAATTTTATTTTTTCTAAGTAATCTTTATACCCAAAGTGGAGCTTGAACTCATAACCTTGAGATCAAAAGTCCCATGCTCTTCCAACCAAGCCAGCCAGGAGCCCCTTAATAGCCATTCTTGAAATCAGGTACTTATCTGGGAAAGAATTCACATAACAGTTTTAAGTCATCCAAAACATATATATCATGATTTCTCTCTGCATTTATTGAGGCCCCTTTAATTTCCCTTAACAACGTTCTGTGGTTTTCAGTGTAATAGTCTTGCATATATTGCTTAACCTATATCCTACAACATTAGTAATTTTTTAGAACTTTCTACATAAACAGCTTTGTTCCTTACTTTCCAACATGTATGCCTTTTACTTCTTTTCTTTTAAAAAAATATTTTCTTTATTTATTGGTCAGAGAGAGAGCACAAGCAGAGGGACCAGAAGGCAGAGAGAGAAGCGGACTCCCCTCTGAGCAAGGAGCTGGATGTGGCACTCAATCCCAGGAACCTGGGATCATGACCTGAGCCAAAGGCAGATGCT